CCGCTGCAAGCTGGCCGGGCTGGAGGAGGCCCTGCAGAAGGCCAAGCAGGACATGGCCTGCCTGCTCAAGGAGTACCAGGAGGTGATGAACTCCAAGCTGGGCCTGGACATCGAGATCGCCACCTACAGGCGCCTGCTGGAGGGCGAGGAGCAGAGGTGGGTGCCCCCATCCTTGCACACACCCACCCACCTGGGAACCCCGTATCCCAGTCTCAGCCCCCAGACCCGGCCCCACACTGCACCCAGATCTCAGAGAACTGGGACTTGGACAGAGCGTTAGAGAAAAGGCGAGACCGATGGTGCTTCGCTGTCCTGTCTAGAGTCCCGGAGAGTCCAGGGCCTTGCGAGGAGGAGAGTCCAGGGCCTTGCGAGGAGGAGAGTCCAGGGCCTTGCGAGGAGGAGAGTCCAGGGCCTTGCGAGGAGTAGATCCCAGCACCCTTCTCGGTTTGAAACATCCGCGTTATTCCAGCCTCAGCTCTTCCAAGATCCACTCCTCCTGGGAGGGCTGTCCCTCAGCCCTGGGGTGGAGAGCCAGGCCCAGCGCTGGCCCAGGGATCCTTCCCCTCCCGAGGAGGCCAGGCGTGGCCCTCTGGCCGTGCACCCCGCAGAGACACGCAGCGGGGGCCAGGAGAGCAGAGCGCAGCCCGCCTCTGCCCGCAGTGTGCCCGCCCCGCTGCCAGGCTGGAAGCACCTTCCCTGCAGTCTTCCCCCGAAAACAAAACAGAGGGGCCAGAAGCAGCCCTGAGAGACCCCATCCCGGCACGCAGGGAAAAGTCGGGGCTCTCATTCTGACCTCTTCTCTCCTCCCCTTTCTCCCCCTCCCCCACTCAGGCTGTGTGAAGGCGTCGGCTCTGTGAATGTCTGTGAGTATCTTAGACCCCGAAAAGGACCTTTTGGGTTGGGCCACAGACATCAGGTGCAGACACCTGGGCCGGGGCTTGCAGGTTCCCCCAGGAGCGGCCACAGGCCGGGCTGAGCATTGGCGGCTGCAGGAGGACCCTGGCCACATGCATGGGGCCCAGAGGGGGCATTAATGATGTCCTGGCAGAAGGGACGCCACTCGCTACACCCCACGGGTGTTGGTGAGAAAAGAGACCCAGAGCCGGGAAGGAGCTAGACGGCCGGCCGCACCCTGTCCCAGGCTCCCGGCGGAGGCTCCTTCCTGGCTTCAGAGCGGACACACGTCCCCTTGCAGGGGGCTGGACAGAGCAGAGAGGGGGGACAGAGCAGAGAGGCAACAGGAAGGTCGCAGGGCGCCGCGCCCCCATCAGCCCCTCTCCCCTCCACCCCCCAGGTGTCAGCAGCTCCCGGGGCGGGGTCGTCTGCGGGGACCTCTGCGTGTCGGGCTCCCGGCCGGTGACCGGCCCCGCGTGCAGCGCCCCCTGCAGCGGGAACCTGGCGGTCAGCACCGGCATGTGCGCGCCCTGCGGCCAGCTCAACACCACCTGCGGAGGCGGCTCCTGCGGCGTGGGGCGCTGTTAGGCCGCCGCGCAGGAGAGCCAGAGAGGCCGCTCTGCAGCCAGCAGGGCCCGCCCGCCCCGGGGCCCGCAGCGGCGCCGGGCAGCGTCCCCGCGTGTTCCGAGAAGACACCAGCGCTCGCTCCCGGCGGCCCCGCGGCGCCGGCTCCTCTGGAAGGGGCCGTTGCCCGGGAATGGACTCTTCCCCTCCACCAGGGGCCTCGGGCCCCTCCCAGGGAGAAGGGCCTTGTGTCCCTGGGAAGAGGACGGCCGGAATGCCTCCCCTGCCTCTCTGGCCGCTTGTCTCCCACTCTGTGAATAAATTGGGGGATCCACTCTCTGTGCTGTGATGTTTTGCCTGCCTGGAGTCTGCTCGTTGCCACCAACTGTGAGCACCCAGCCCAGCTGGAGAACTTGAGGCCTGGGGTCACCCCGGCCAGGCCTCAACCTGACACCTCCCGGCCCTTGCCCACCCGCCCCCGCCCCCATCCCCAATAGTGCTGGTCACTGCGGACCCAGCCCACCACATGTCCTCCTCTGTACCTGTGGTTTGGAACCTGACACTGTGACTGGCTCTGAGGGAGCCAGAGAGGGCTTAGGGTTCAGCACAAGGCAGAGAGCGAGTGTGTGTGTGTGTGAGTGTGTGTATGATTTTAGCCCTTTTTCACACACCTCGACCTGCCACCCCCACCACACACACCCTCACAGGGCCTCTGCCAGGGACCCCGCAGCCGCCCAGGTGGCCATCCGGTCACTGCAGACCCCACCACCCATTCCTACGACTGCCTGGCAAACAAAGCAGGTGTCACTTGGGACATGTCCCCGCCCCACCCACAGACACATTCCTGCTCAGCCTCTGGGCGGCCCCTGAGAGTCCCCTGGCTGGTAAAATCCCCTCTGTTCGCTTCTGGACTCCCACTCATCGCCCTCTCCCTCAGCTCCCTCAGAGCTCTGCTCCTCCCCTCGCCAGTCCGCACTACAGCGCTGTCAAGGGTCTCAGGGAAACAAGCCTGGCCGTCCAGTGGGTCCCTGTGACCCTCGGGACGGAGGCCGGGCCCTCGAGCCAGCATCCCCACTTTGCACATCAGCACCCCCGCTCTCCAGCGACCCCCCTCCCCCCATGTTCTGATCAAGGTGCCCGAACACCTGTCTGATGCCAGGTGAGACCAGAGACCTCCAAGGGCCTTCCCGGGCAGGGCTGACCTTCTTGAGAACTGGGGTGGAACCTGAAACGATCCTTTGCAAGGAGGCTGTCAGTATGACTGTCGGACTTGGGGTCATCCCGGGGCCACTGGGGGAAAACAGGAGGCTCCACGCCCTGCAGTCCAAGGGGCTGACACCCCACCTGGGAGGGCCTCTACCGCCAGAGCCCCGGGGCCCACCTCCTCTACCGCCTCTGCCTCAAGGGAGGTTGTGGTCACAGAGGTCCTGGGTCCTTGTCGCAGGAGGAAAGGAAAAGCACAGCTGGAGGATTAATACAAAGGACACAGGTTACTTCCTAAAGGGAGTGGTACTGGAGCTGAGACCGAGAGAAAGACCAGGAGTTCACCTGTGCAGTGGCTAAGTGCCTGCTGATGGTTAGAGTGCTCCAAGTGCTGTCACACCTGCGTGGGTCCACACTCCTGGGGAGAGTCAAGGTGCCCGTCCTCTGTTAAATGTGTATTTTATGCAAAAAATAACCCACATAAGGAGTACCCAGGAGAGGTATGGTCCAGATATGGGAACAGTATGAAGTGGTGGAGGTGGAGAAAGAGCGTGGAAATATCCTGGAATTCTAATAGGTTCCATAGGCTGGCTGGGGCCGGAGGGGGTGGGGGTAGGTAGGGGGGTGCTGAGCATTGCTCTCCAGTACTTTCTCTTAAAAGCTTAAAATAGCATTTTCAGTCATGGAATCAATCCAAATGCCCCAAAATAGGTGACTGGATTAAAAAAATGTGGTCCATATACACGATGGAATATTACTCAGCCATCAAAAAGGTAAACACGTGCCTTTTGCAGCAACATGGATGGAGCTGGAAGGGATCATGCTTAGTGAAATAAGCCAGAAAGTAAAGGAAAAATACCAGATGGTTTCACTCATAGCAGGAGCATAAAGGACCAAGGGGAAAAGAATAATGAACAGCTGTATACCAGAGACATTTATGGGGGCAGAGTGGGGAATGGGACCAAAAATGGGGGGGGCGGGAGTGCACTGGACTATGGTGATGGCACATGGGTAATTTGGTGATGGGAAGCCCACGGGGATGACAACTGAGACGGAAAAGGCACAGAATGATGTAAAAATAACTATTATACCAAAAAAAAAAAAAGCCTTCTCCTTTCTACTTTCCTCCACTGCCTTCTCCTTCCCCAACTCCACCCCATATAAATTTTCTTCACCCAAGATCACTTCTCATTCCTGCTTCTTCCAGCTACTTTTCCTTCACCTTATCGAGGTCGATGGCATAGAGCAACTAAGAAGAGCTCCACGCTCTGAGTGTGAACTGCTTCCCCCCTGGGAGGTTCCTGATAGCGCCCAAGGAACATAGCTCTCTGGATGTCAGGCCCCTCCTCGCTGACAAGGCTGAGATCAGGTCAGCTCTGGCAGTCACGACACCTAGAGCCACAGTCCCTCAGCGCCTGCCCGGCACAGCAACTGAGGTTCCATCATGCTCAGAGGCCGGTTCTCACTCAAATATGTGGGTGAACTCACTGATCTACCAAAAGGCGAAGAGGCTCAGGGCCAAGCCAGGACAAGAATCGAAGAGATCAGACATCTAGGCCCCGATGTTTTCCACCATCCCCCACACTCCCACCACCCACTCTCCAAAGATGAGGGATGTTTGCTGATGAGATATCATAGTCATAGTATGATGTACCACGCTTCCATTAAGTTTATTTATACTGTCTCATTTCATCCTTCTGGGGAGCTAACTTAAATGGATCCCAGCTGTCCCTCCCTTCTCTTCCTCTCAAAGATGGGGCTCCTTTCCCATCCCCTTGAACCTGCACTGGCCCTGGATGCTTAGGATGAGAAACTGTGCCGTAGTGTGAAGAGAAGTTTGAAAGAGTGGAATCTACAGAGACGGTTGTGCTAATGCTGAAGCAATACTCCTTGTATCCCAAAGAACTGTTTTTACTGAAACAGTTTGACCAGCGGAATACTCTGACCAACAAAATGTGGTAAGAGTGGCCTTCCGGGGCCCCTGCACCCAGACCTTGGGAGACTGCAGAATTGGCACCTGAAGCCATCCACCCCTGAGGCACTTCAAGCAGCAGCCTCCACCACATCACCACTTGGATAAAATCATCCTGTACTCTCCAGCTGTCCCACAGACCCAGCACTTCCGATCCCAGAAGAACGGCCAGTCCGATACATATAATAAGGAAAAATAGTTTCATGTTAAGCCACTGAATTTTGGGGTACTTTGCTATGTGGCAAAAGGTAAATGAAAAAGAAATGAGCACCAGAAATAGGTACAATTGTGACGACACCTGAAGTCTGTGACTGGGGGCAAAGCCTGACTGTCCTCAAAGAGACGTCTGTGAAGACGGGTAAGAGGTGAGGGAGTTGGTACCACTTGCTGCAGGAAAGGTCGCCGGGAGGTAGTGATGAAGAACCCCCCCCTGTGGTCCCATGGAAGAGAAAAGGGCAGCGACCAGGCTGTGTTCTGCTAAGGCGAGCACAAGGTGATTGGCCACTTCTAGCCACCTACGACAACATGTGACGAGAGAAATGGACTCTAAGGAAATGTCCAGCTTCTCAGTACAATTTAGAACAGTTCTAGAGGGTCCAGGATTGTCAGCTAATGGTGAAAGTAAGAAGTGACCTCAAAGCACTGGTGAGAAGCCAGCCCTCAGGAAAAGTGAGGTGAAGACTGCAGCCGTAAGGCCCATTGGGGAAATCAGATATTCCCTTCACAGCCTCATAGCCCAAGCCCACCCAGGCTCTTAAAACCCCTCAAAGATCCTTGCAGGTGAGCAAGTGGGCTTTGAAGAATCCTAAACCTCATGGCTGTCACCCAGAGGCAACTGTCTCAGAGAGATGTGTGGGCATGACTTCGGCCTGATGAAGTGTGCTAACATCTCATACACCAGAAACATGCAAATTTTTTTTAAGATTGATTTATTTATTTAGACATACAGAACTGGGGTACAGGCCAGGGATGCAGGGGCATGAGAGGAGTCACCAGAGACAGAGTGGGGAGCAGGACAAGCAGATGGGCAAAGTCCACTGCTGAGGGGAGCAGCGGGGAGACAGGAGAGGTCTGCTGTGCCCTGTGGGTCACCTCCAGGGCGGGAATCGAACTCGCGCTGAAGTGCCTGCGGCCAGCTTGCAGTGCTGCATCCTAACCGGTTGTGCCACCAGGGAGGGCTCAAGGTTACAGCAGTTCTAACCCAAAGGAGCAGAAACTGTTCAAAATGAAAACAGACCTCTGGGTCACTCACCTCTTAAAGACAGAAGTAGGCTGAGAAAGGTGATGGGCTTCAAGCAGGGGCGTTTTCTTGGAAAAGGGAGTGATTCAGAAGGTCCCGAAGGGCAGAGTCTAGTGCAGAGGCCCTAGTCCCAGAGAGGAAACGGAGTCGGGAATAAACCACCCTCTACAGCAGGAACGATGCCTGGCTGTGCCTGGAACGGATGAAGCGGTGACTGCGAGTCTTTCTTCTCTTCTCTCTGAGCGGCCACCTGCGTGGCTGTCCGCCTCTAACTCACCGTGCGTGACTGGTGCATTGACAAAAAAGGCCGCCTTACTTCAGGCCTTCCAGTTGAGGTCAGCTATAAAGGAAACATACCCCAAGCGCCCCCAGGTGTACCTAGACCTGATCCAAATGGGGAGATCTTAAACTTCAAGCTGCTGTCTCTTTGGGGTGAAACTTGGGGTCCTCTTGGGAAGCACACGATGCTTGTGAGAGGAGCGTGAGCTGCGGTGGCAGAGAGAAGGCAGGGGCCCACGTCCACACAAGTGGGACCCAACAGCTCCTTCCCTCTCTAGACACGTAGGTCATCAGAGACAAACCCAGTTTCTCTCTTTGAGTCTGACCCGGCCCTATGTGCTTTGGCCAGTAGAACACAGTGGAAATGACCTGCAGTGCCCAAATCCGCTTCTTCACCGGGCTGTGGGGAAGCCCAAGTAGCTGCCTAAGGAAGGCCCGTGTGAGGAGAAGCAGCTCTGTGTGCCAGCATCAATGCGGCCCCTCAGCAGCAGACCGCCTTCCCTGCCTGCTCTGTGGATGCCGTGAGGGAGCCTGCAACACTTTTCTTTGACGGCACAATGTTGAGTTTGTCAGTAGAGGGCACTGAAGAGATACTGCAGGCTGAACGGGCGCGTCTTTCCCAGT